AGAAGTTTTTGTGCTGTGTGAAGAACTTGTACTATAGGCAGTGTAAGTTTCTGATCTTTATAGTATACACTGGGTGTAGATAGTATAGATTGATGGTTCTTTAGCTGAATGAAACGGTTCAGAAAGTGCTGTAGGAACAAGTGACATTTTGTTAACCCGTTTGGGTTGGTGACTCCAAAGAATTATAAAATTTGACATTTGTTCTCTTTTCCCCCTAATTTGCTTTAACTAATTGAAGTGACTTCTAAATTTTTCTGTAAAAGTCTTATACCGAGAAACATGCAATAACTTTACTAAAATGTGCTACATAATACGTATTACATTCAGTATATAAAACTAGTCTACCATGGGCAATGATGCCCTTCATGTATCTGTTGTTAGCGCAGGTTTGCAATCTGAAATTTATTCTTTTATCTATTTTCTGTGTGCTTAGCGCTGATATCCCCCTTTGGGCTTTTCCAACACCTTCTTTTTCCATGTCCGAGTGTGTGTGGCTGGGTGGGTGATAAGAAAAAGTGTGACTTTAATTTCCTTATTTTGTACTTCATAATTTATGAAGAGGATCTTTTCCTTCTGATTTTACGTCTTTCAGGTAAAGAAATTCTGGTTGTTTAGAGAGTGTGGTTTTGCATTTTGATTTTATATGCAACTTTCACATTAAGCATTTTTTTGGAATTATTTCTTCCGTTACTTTGTGTGTATATAATTTTTTTTTGATTTCTCGAGAAGTGGGATAATAGGGGATAGGAAATTAAAACATTTTTGCCATGCAATTTTTTTTTTTTTTTCTCAATTTTTATATGGCAACCATGCAAATCAATCTCGGAATCATGGCTGTAGGCCGGGTTTGGAAGATATCCATGTATTCAGAAAGGAAGCCGGTAATGAATTTGGGTTAGGTCTAGAAACTTAGATGTCCCAAATGACAAAAGTCACTTTTTTCATGACATTGCATATATCAATGTAATATGTGACATCATATATCTAATATATGTGACTTATAATTTTAATTTATTACAACATATGAAGTGGTAAAAAAAGATAATATTTATACAGTGACTCGTAATCTTTCTCTTTACTAAATAATATTTTGATATTAAAATTAATTAACTTTTATGCTCACCTCCCTGAATGGCTAGGAGTTAGGTCTTGGGTGCTCTCTCTGACTTCAGGTCTCAGATATTGTGACTATTGGTTCCTGGGATGGGTTAGTTGTCACGTGGATTTCCTAAATTGTTGATTGAATTTTTGATTTTAGAGGATAATTTTGCAAGAATTTTCTTTATAAATCTCTTAATTTTGTAAAATTAGAATACATTTTTAAATTGTTACATATTATTTTGTAAAATCAGAACACATTTTTGAATTGTTGTGTGAAATCAAAGCAAAATTTTAAAATATTTTGTAAAATCTGAACATGTTTTTGGAAGGTTTTGAAATGTTTCGAAAAATAGATTACTTTTTTGAAATATGTTGTAAAATTAGTACACACTTTTAGAATATTATGAAACGTCTTGTAAAATCTAAACAAATTTTGAAAATGTTGTATAATCTTAACATATTTTAAAATATTTTCAAATGTTTTGAATAACAAACAACATTTTTGAATTTGAAACATTATGACATATTTTGTAAAATCAGAACACCTTTTTGAAATAGATTTAAAATGTGTAAGGCGATTTGGCCTAATTTGTAAGGCAACCAACTTATTGTTGCACTAGAAGAAAAATATTGCCACTAACAATTTCTATGTACAAAATCAATTTTGAAATATATATTTCTTATTTTATAATAGTTGTGATAGAGAAAAATATTATAATCAATTTTATAGATTTGAGAGTAGTCAAATTGGCATGATATTATATAAAAATCTTTCAATGCAAAATATATTATTGTTACATAGAGGGGAAAGAACCAATCACTTAACTTGAAAGCCAACAATGATCTTTTGCTCCATTTGAGATCTAATGGGTACAAAGTCATCTTCCTTGAAACCTTTTATACGGTTTTTTCAGAAGAGATTAAATTAATATTTATTTTTATAGTTTAAGGATATTACCTTGCATTAATGAATTATAAAACTTTAATGAATAGGTTTTTATAAACAACAAAAGGGTACAAACTATACTTTTGGTACCACAATTTTTAATTTCAAAATTTTAAAAGAATAAAACATTTAACTTGGGTAATTCTTTAGTGTACAAATTTTTAAAAATTTTCAAAAGTAAGTAAGTTCGATAACCTTAAAAATAAATATAAAATTTAAGTAAAACAAATTTTATTTATTGTTGGAGGTTAAATATGAAATGGAAGGTATTTAATTTTTTCTTTAGTTAGATTTGTTTGAAGCAAAATTCCCTTCAAAACTTTTTAACTTTTTACCGTGGATTCTCTTAAATAACAAACCTCTACTAATAGCTAAGTTGGCAGCCATAATCCGTTTTTTCCTTTTAAACCAACAGGTAAAGATTTAAATTTAATATAAAAATATTAATAGAATCATTAATATTACTATAAAAATTTTAGGATGAAAAATTTTCATCTGTCCAGGTTTACCTCAATTCTCATTATAAAAAAAATACTTCTTTCTTTAACTAATTGTTGACTAATAGTTATTAAACAGGTTTGTTAAAAAAGATGTGAAAATAACATAATTTCGCACATTTTGGTAATCTATCTTATTAAAATTTAAAATATTATTTAATTCACTTATTTTTTTTAAAATTTCTTACTTTTTTTTAAAAAATCTAATTTTTGATAATTTAATTTTATTATTAAATATTTTATTTTATTTTATTTTAAATATTAAAATAAAAATGACTGAGTGTTATTTAAGTTCAAAAAAGAGTTGACTGATGTTTAAATTTAAAAAAAGTTAGATTTTTAATTGTTTTAAAATTTTAATTTAAAAATTAAAAATTAAAAATTTTTAAACAAAATAAATAATATTTTAATTTCAATTAAAGTGGTAATTCAACCTGGTAAAATTGGATTGCGTTAATATATTTTTTAATAAAATTGTTATAAAAATGTTAATCAAAAGTTAGTTAAAAGAAAAAAGTATTTTTTATAATAAAAATAGAGTTGAACTTATCTATTTTTTAACAAAATTATTAAATAATTATTACTTAATAATTAATCAAGAGAATAAACTAATTTTTATAATATAAATAAAATTGAGTACCGTTTCAGAATAACCGAAAGAGAAGGGTTTAAATATAATTAGGAGGAAGGGTAGTATTTTTTATCCATCATCTTACATTGGACACCCACACACGTGCACACACGTAACCTTCCAACGTGAGACGTTCCGTAAGGGCGACGAGGGACCACGCAAATGGGTCATAATCACGATCGGCCGGTTTTTCAACTGGTAGATATGCTCAGTCCTATGCAGGATTAAGTACAAACCAATTCCGGCCAACGGTTTTGACTGTGACTCCGCAACTTCACGACAAAATTGAGGAGCCCAGAAATGCAAATCACTCACGTCGCCGACGCAGTTGCACAGATGTCACGTTAAAAATTTAACCAAACCAAACGCGACAACACGTATCCATGTCAATACACGCAGTTGCACACCATCAGACGTCATCCCTGATATAACGTTGCTTATCCGAAAATTATAGGTCTGAATCATCTGTTCCCATTGAAGGGAGCGCCCATTTATCTCTCCTGTTTTATTAAGTACAGAAAAAAATAATTTCAGTTGGGAATTACCATCGGTTGGAGAAGGCTTTTTCAGCCAAAAGAGAAAAAATTGGATAAGCTCAAAGTCAAAGACGCTGTGCATTTCCATGGACTCGCCAGCCCAGCGCCGCCTCCGCGCTATTCAGAACCATCTCACCTCCGCAGCCGCCGGAGGCGGGGATCGGCTGTCACTTCTCCAAGCCAACCATACCGCCGGCGAGTTCTACTATGGTGCCGTCTCTTTTCTGTCTCTATATTATATGGTTTCTTACATGCGTGCTGCTGATGTGTCCACCAAATTTTGATGTGAATGGGGGATCGGTGACATTTTATCATGTTTCAAATCAAGTGTTTTTCCTGGGGAGTTGAATCTTCATGTTATTGGCCGTTGAGATCGAAATTGAGTGCTTTATCTAGATATGGCCCTTCACCTTTTCTGTGGATCAGCTTTACATGATCCGCCTTTATTCTCTAATCCTTATCAAACTGCGATTTGCTTTACATAAATAATTTACACACATGGGCGCAATTACTTTTTGAGCAGCGAACTTTTGGGAATTCCAATCTCATTTGTTGTTATGAAAATGACAATTTGCCTCCACTTCAATAATTGGTTAGGTTTTTAACTTCTATTTTTTATTCTTTTGGTGGGGGTGTGGAACTTTTGTTTTAGTTCCGAAATGATGAAGAAGTGTGAAATTGAGGAATTGTGTCTGTGATTTGACCACGTTCTATTTGACTACATTAAGGAATTGTGTCTTGTGATTTGACTACCTTTGTCCACTCTGAAAGTGGGAATTAAAGGTTCATAATGCCGATGGTTTTAGAAATTCTAATTTTATTATTTTGTTAATTTTGGATGGTAAGTTGATAAATTGCTGTGGAGCAGAGGAGAGCGGACCTGGTCTCGGTTTTGCTATCAGGGCCAAGGAATGCATATTTGGATGATTTTATTCGTTCTTGTTTCTTAGAGGCTTGACTTGGCCGAAGAAGTCAATGCAGATTCCGTCCTCTTTATAGGGAATTAGGCTAGTCATATTAGATTTAGATTGTAATTTGATATCGTTGCTGGCATATAGGGACGCATGATAATGCCTAGTTAGGTGAAGTTTGGGTGTGTTAAATACACTTAATGACTATCCTCTATGGGCTTTTGCGGCTAATCTTGAGAAATGACATAACATGTGAACTGTTTGAGTTGGTTGGGCAACCAATATGGTCAGTCTCAAAATTATGGATTGCTTTTTCCTTTTTTAGCAATATATAATTCAAAAACTCCTTATGATGATGATGCTTTGTTCTGAGCAGAGCAGGGGTACAGCGTTGTGCTTCCAGAAAAATTGCAGACTGGGAAGTGGAATGTATACAGGTTTGAATTTGTAATTCATGTAGGCCATGGGCTAAATTTGAATAGATTAGTTATTGAGAGAGTTATTATGATGCAGATCAGCACGCTCTCCTCTGAAGCTTCTTACTAGATTTCCTGATCATCCTGAACTTGGCACCCTACATGACAATTTTGTGTGAGCATTCTCCCTTTTTACTTTATTACCTAAGTTTCATTCAGAAGCATTTGGAAAATTGTTTCTGTGTAAATGTAGGCGGTCAGTTGAGACCTTCCGGGACAGCAGATACTTGGGTACTCGGACTAGGTTAATGGGACAGTTGGAGAGTAAGTTGGGCTTCTAAATTGAACTTGCAGTGCTTGTGTCAATCTCCTGTTCCCTTTTTTTTCCCCCTAATTTCTTGCCTTGAAGGTATGAGTGGATGACATATGGGGAAGCAGGTAATGCTCGGTCAGCAATTGGGTCTGCCCTAGTTTACCGTGGAATACCAAAGGTAAGTGACTTATAGTAAATTCTTTTCTTTTTTATCTTTTTGTGTTTTTCAAAATTTTATGTTCTATTAATGAACATTGGTACATCTTATGGAAACATCGAGTAAAGGTTATTGAATCTGTCATTACATGTCTGACAATTCCAGTTGGTTATGCAATAGGGAGCTTGTGTTGGACTGTATTTTATCAATAGACCAGAGTGGCTAATAGTTGATCATGCCTGTGCTGCTTATTCATATGTTTCAGTTCCATTATATGATACTCTTGGTAAGTCACTATTTTGTCAATTGAAAACTTGAGTGAAATCTTTTCTTCAAGTTACCAGGCCTGTGATGTTACAATTCTTTTGTTGTCTATGCAGGTCCTGATGCTGTCAAGTATATTGTAAACCATGCAGTTGTGGAAGCCATATTTTGTGTGCCACAAACATTAAACATTGTAAGTTTTCTTCACAAGCCTTTAAGCTCCCTTTAACAATCTGAAAACCATACGAAATTCAACTATTAAAGAGAAGATAGCATTAAAAAATGTTCCACTTTATGTATGCAGTCTCTTAGTGATTGCTTATGGAATTTGAGAAGACACACTAATACTGAGATGCCAGAGAGATAGATAATTAACTTTGCTGTACCATCTGGAAATTATATCGTCATCTAGAATAGCAAATCATCAAGGATATTATATTCTTTGTGGAACAATTGTGTTCAGGAAGGTGGAATTTACACTGAAATAGTTGGTTATTTCAACCAAGGAGTCTTATCAAGATGAGGATGTCTACATGGCTTCATAAATATATATGTGAGGCTTATTCTATGTGGTCTTAGATATTGATAATGAGCAATCACTTGTCAATTTTCTTTTTGCAGGGATTTATCACATAGTATTTGGAAGACTTGTGCAAAACTTCATTTTACATTTTGTTTTTCTCATCTCCTTAGTTTCAACTTTCAATCCACAATTCAATTTTTTTTCCTTCTCTCTTTGACTTTGCAGTTGTTAAGCTTCTTGTCAGAGATTCCATCTGTACGACTATTAGTGGTATGAAAATGCCCTATTCTTTCTTAACTTGAATATGTGAGAGGAATTTGCTGCTGATTAGTAGTCATCCTTAAAATTCTTATGTCCACTGTGGTATTGAATAGGTGGTTGGAGGGATTGATGAGAAACTGCCTTCACTTCCATCAAACACAGGCGTTGAAGTAATATCATATTTAAAAGTACTTAATGAGGTGATTTCATGTCTGTAGAAATCTTTCATTTTATTGCCATTAGCAAAATTGTTATAATGATGGTTATATTATAAATCTGTCTGCTTCAGAGTATTACAATAATAGGATCAGCAGCTAATGTAATCCCATGCATTAGAAGGTGAAGCATCATATTACTTTTTTACTGTGTGCACATACGTTTGTGCAGTATCTGCCTGTTCTTGATGATATTGATCTAAGTATTGTGAATAGCAATCCAAATTGTTTAGGCTATGAGTCTGCAGATTCTCTATCCATGCAACTGTGTTAATTCTAAAAACTTTTTGAATTTGTCCTCCCTTCTGGAGTGTAGGAGGATGAGCTCGGTGTCACAAATTGCTATTACGTTGTTATGTATTTATCTTATTCATCTTGTTGTTTATATCTCATGGGCACACACTCAAGCTTTTACCTGCTGGTTTGAGGTAGGAGATAGGCTAGTTTGGTTGAAATTTCATTTTACAAATAGAAAATGTGAATTAAGAGGACAACTGGTAACTTGATGATTGGACTTTGACTAGCAATATGCGAATTACATGCTCCCTAGGTGTGTGACATCCTTGATTTGTTCATTCAACTTCTTTCTTTATTGCTTTTCATTTCAACTCTACATAGCCTTCCGCCAAGGCATAACTCCTCATAACAAGCTGACTTGAATAATTTTGCATTGTCCCCCTTAACCTTTAGATACTGCCTGAATTCCTGTTACTTCCTCTTTGCTTCTTGGGTTTAGGCTGAATGAAATTCTATTCCGGATAAAGTAGGTCTTCTGGTTTTTGTTTCTTGTCTTTTTTATAACCCAGATATAATTATATTCATTTGATCACTAGTTTGAAGAGGTATTGTGCTTAACTTGCTAATGCCTACTCTTTCTTTTTAAAATCCTTTTTAATGCTTCTTGTCAAGGTCAAGTTTATTTGTTTTAAGTCACCATTATGGTCCATGTAATTATCTGAATCATTTAACCTACAATATCGAGAACTCTTTTTTGATAGAAATCTAACAATTCCTTATTAAATCCAAGGGAGGAAGAGCATTCTGATTGCTAAATTGTACAATTTTCTTGTAGGGATACAGTAGCCCTCATGCTTTTTGTCCCCAAAACCTGATGATATTGCTACTATTTGCTATACAAGTGGTACGACTGGGACTCCAAAGGTTTTGGTCTAAGTTCCTTTTCCTTTTCTGTGCTTGATGCTTATTCAATATTATTGATTGCTTATAACAAGTAAATGACGTCTCTTCTTTTCCTACTTTCTAAGGGAGTTTTATTGTCTCATGGAAATTTGATTGCAAATGTTGCTGGTGGAAGTCTTTCTGTCAATTTCCTGCCATCAGATGTGTGGGTATCGAGTTGCCACTTTACGTAATATCTATTATTTCTGTATTATATTGCAAAGCCTAGTGCTAAATAGGATGTTTATAAAAAAATTTAAAGAACTTATGGTGCTATAGCCAATTGAGGTAAGCCGTATGGCCAGTTACCAAATGATGAAAGTTTTCATTGCAAAGGCTGATTGTCACAGAGAGAGAGAGAGAGAGAGAGAGAGAGAGAGAGAGAGAGAGAGCCAAGGCTGATGGAATACATCATTAAGAGAACAGTTATGATTAGATGATGTGAAGATCAGCTGACTCCTTTTGGTCACAAGCTTACTGGCATAGCACCATGCTTAGGTTTTATACATATATATATATATATATATATAATTTTCTTTTCTGCTAATTGATTAATGCTTTCCCTAAATTGTGCTTTCTGTTTTATTCTTTTGAGACAGTTACATATCCTATCTTCCCCTGGCACACATCTATGAAAGGGTGAATCAGATAACAGTGCTGTATTATGGAGTTGCAGTTGGATTCTATCAGGGAGTATGAGGCTAACTCATGCATTATTTTTCTAATTTTTGTTCATAGATTTCTTAACAATCGACAGAGTGCTTCATTGAGGTGAAAAAGAGAAAAAGGAAGAGAAATAACCATGATGTAGTGATAAGCATCGAGCTGATAATTTCCTTTCAAATATATTTATCAAAATGCTAAGCGCTAGAGTCTGTTTAAAGCATATTTACCTAATTGTAAAGGCAGGTTGCTTAGCACTATAATATTGGTTTAAGTCTAAGTGCAATTGCTTCCTTAGTGCTTCCCAGCACCCTCCATAACTGCTGCATATACTGTTGAATATACTTTCATTGTTCATTTGATGAAAATAAGGAAGAGTTGAAACACAGAATTCTTGAGTTTTAGTGCCGAAAGAAAGTGTCAACTGATGAGAATATTTTATTTGCACTTGACTGTACAGGACAATTTGAAACTAATGGATGATGTGGCTGCTTTGAGACCCACTATATTCTGCAGCGTGCCTCGACTGTACAACAGAATATATGATGGGTAGTTCTAAATTACCTAAAACTAATTAAAATATTGGCATATTCTTTTGTATGACCATGTAGAAATTACAAAGCTGGTTCATTGTACTTGCAGTGTTATGAATGCTGTGAAAATGTCTGGAGTTCTCAGAGAGAGGATATTTAATGTTGCCTACAATTCTAAGAAGCAATCTTTATTGACTGGTGAAATATATTATCACCTATTTTTTTTTCTTTATTTTTTCGTGCATGTGAGTGTACTTTGTTTCCCAGATTTTTAAGGATATTAGTACCTCAAACTTGGACATTCTCTGCTATCATCTATCCATATTTGATGCCTTTGTGAATTTATAGCACAACTAATATTTAGGAGAGTAAATGTTTTATCGCATTTTTTTCATTGTAACAACTCACCAACAAGGATGCAAGTCAAATCATGTTTGCCTTTTCCTTACCATAGATTTAGGGAAACTAATAACCAGTTTCCATCAAAACCTTTGTATTCTACTCATTGCCATGTCATCTCTTCTCCCTCTGTTCTCTTAGAACCTCTACTGCTACCAAACAAAACAATACAAAAGGAGAGAAGAAAAAGAAAATCTCCTAATCTCTGTTTTTCTGATATTTTGGGAGCACCTTCTCTGTTATTCTTTCAGGAAAAAGTCCATCTCCTATATGGGACAGATTGGTGTTCAATAAAATTAAGGAAAAGCTAGGAGGACGGGTTCGTTTTATGGCATCAGGTGCATCACCCTTGTCACCTGATGTGATGGACTTCTTAAGGGTGTAAGTTAGCTGATTACCTTGGCCCAAGTGGCTACTTTTATGAGTAATTTAGTTTTCTGTTTCACCTTATAAAATGAGAAAAATTTCTCAGGTGTTTTGGGTGTCGAGTTTTGGAAGGGTATGGCATGACGGAAACTTCTTGTGTTATAAGCTCTATGGAAGAGGGCGATAACCTTTCTGGCCATGTTGGCTCTCCTAATCCTGCTTGTGGTTAGTTTTGACATGACACATATGATTGGATGGATATTTGCAATTGATGTTACTTTTGAGCATCATTTTTAAATAGATTTGTCATGTATGACCATTTGTCTCTCAAAAGAAAAAGAATGGGAAAAAAAGTTCTGCTTTTCATTCCTCATATTATCTTCCAATCCAGTTATAAGATGAAATGTCTGCTTGTCTATTTTCCACGTATGCATTATGGTTTTCCTTTCTATTTCTCCCAACAGATCTATTTTGGACTAGCAATCTTAGGGTGCTGATTTCTCAAGAATTTAACATCATGCTAATTAATCCTTTTCAATGATCAAAGCAACCACGTACTTTGTCTGTTTAAATCAGGCACTCAGTGGGTTATCAAGCTTTGTTTTTTGTGTTATCAAAATTTGGAAATTTGGTTCAGAAATAAAGCTTGTGGATGTTCCGGAAATGAGTTATACATCAGAGGATCAGCCCTATCCACGGGGTGAAATCTGTGTGAGAGGTCCCATTGTATTCCAAGGCTACCACAAAGATGAAATTCAAACGTACTTAGCTTTGGCTCTCTATTCCCTTTTTTTTTTTTTTTTTGGTTGGTTTATTCTACTTCTCCTTTTTCTATTGCTGTCTAGCATATGCCCCAGTGAGCAGACGCTTACAGCTAATCCAATTTTTCAGGAGAGAAGTAATTGATGCTGATGGATGGCTTCATACTGGAGATATAGGACTGTGGTCATCTGGAGGTCGCCTAAAGATAATTGATAGGTGACGTTATCCTAAGTGATAGTGCTTGATGAATTGATTTCTCCCTCTTTCAAATTAAAAAACAGAAAACTTCAATGTCACTTTTCTTTTTGACAACCAGCTACTCTAACGAGGGGCTGGACAGCAGGTGTACTTATGATATTTCCTACTTTGGAATTTCTATTGAGCCCCATAATTTAATGCCATAAAACATTCAACTCCTTGTAAAGCTTAACCTGGTTCGGTGAGATTGGTGTGCCCTGGCTTTTCCTTGAGTGGACCATATTTGTGTGTATGTCTTTTTTGGAAAACCCATTCATTTTCATGATCAATTACAGTTCGAATGTGTTAAATCCATCTTTTTGGGGGGTTCTCAAACTATTTGGATTTATGCTAAAAGTATCATAATGTTTATGATAGGAAGAAAAACATATTCAAGTTGGCACAGGGGGAGTACATAGCTCCAGAGAAAATTGAGAATGTTTATGCCAAATGCAAATTCGTGGCCCAGTGCTTTGTCTATGGTGAGAAAATTGAGGAGGTTTTTGTTACATGCTCACTGGTCTCCGCCTACTTTTCTGATTGTCATCATGTCTGTTCGTAGGTGATAGCCTCAACTCTTCCCTTGTTGCTGTTGTATCAGTCGACCCTGATATGTTGAAAGCTTGGGCCGCCAATGAAGGAATTAAGGTAATTAATTCTTTTGGCCGCTGCTAGCGACAGACAAAAAAAGGCCATCCTACATATTCTTGTCGAAGTCAATTCCCATCTGCATTAATGCGACTTTTCTCTTTTGATGTTTTTGTTATTGTAGAAATATAATTGTAATATTTGTTTGAAGTTAATATAGAATATGAATAAAATATAATAAATTTCATTCAGCAATTATTTTTACTAGAATTTAATTAAGAATACTTTCAAATCCACCACAACAAAGTAGTTAATGGTTACAATTATCTAAAATTTCACTATCTTTTTACTTGTTAAGGTATGTGATACTGATTAACAAATGGGCATTATAAATAAATATTAAAAGAACACACACTTAAGAGGAGGCTTGTTATGTCACTTGGGCAAATTTTTAGTATACTCCTTTGTGATTATAGAGTAATCTGTATGACATGAGAGAAGAGGGACTCCATCTTCACCAGGGAAAAATATTTCTGTAAATCATAATTTATAATCTTGTTTGCTCATGACTCTGATGCATAGTTATGTGCGCTATATGAGTGTATTTTTACTTAAAACTATTCCTGACAAAGTTTGATGTTAATTTTCATTTCCAGTACAAAGATTTAGGAGAATTGTGCAGTCACCCAAGAACAAGGGCTGCTGTCTTGGCAGATATGGATGCTGTTGGAAGGGAATCTCAGGTAACGTTTCTGGTCTATGTCTTTTGTGTTTGTTCATTGTTTTATAAATTTGTACTATATACCGCATCATGCTTATATTTTTGAAAAATTTATATATTTCCTTGTAGCTAAGAGGTTTTGAGTTTGCCAAAGCTGTGACTTTAGTGCCCGAACCATTCACAATGGAGAATGGCCTTCTGACACCAACTCTCAAGGCGAGTATTGAATGGAATGATGTTCTAGACATGCTAACAAATATACAAGCGAGAAGATAAACTGAAATAACGGTTTGTCTTTCTTATAGGTGAAGAGACCACAAGCAAAGGCATACTTCGCGAAAGCCATAGCTGACATGTATGCAGAGCTTTCAAAGTCTGATCCTTCTTCTCAAAAGATATTGTGAAATACACGAGGGAATGGATGGCTTTTGTGTTTGTGTGTGTCTGTTTTGGGGTGGAATTTGAGGAGCCTCCACGCCAAAGACAGGATATATAACAGTGAAAGAAATGGGGACATTACTTCATCGCCTTTTTGGCGTAGAAAGGAAGAATAGGATTAAAAGTGGGATAGAATAAGGGGAATTAATTTGTAATCCATATTTTTCCAATCTTCCTCTTCCACTAAAGGCGACACTACACAGAACTTGGGCCATGAAACCTTTCGTGGAAAAATGTTTGACGCGAGGTGTTCAACTGAATTGAGCCAAATCAAGAAACCCAATTGCCCCAATCAGTTTATATTTTATTTTTTCAGAAGTTAGTTTTGGCCGGTATGAAAAAAAGGTCTCAAACCCAAAATCTCCGAATCATCGGTTTCTACGTTTCGTTGAATTTCTGCCATGCACGTGTAGAATCCTGACACGTGTATGACTACGATCGTCCTATGTAGTTATACACTTGACACCCATTTGCGATTAAATTAAATTACGTCACTATGATGAGATAGGAGAACAAATTTAAGTTGCAACTCTCGAAAGACTTGTATAAGTCCACAAGGTTGATGGTAATTACACGAAGCCACTGGGTCTCGTCGGTTTGTGCCAAGTCGTCCCCTGTATTACTTCTCCGACTTATATTTACACGGGCACGCGGTTGCTTTAATAAGCTTGTGTGAGTGGGTTAAGTTGGGTTCAGGTGGTGTGACTTCCCTGGATAACTTCTTGATCAAGTTCTCCCCCAAAGTCCATCAGAGAGAGCTTCACGCCAAGGACGATAACTACTGCAAATGCGACGATCAAATGCTTCAGCTTTTCTCGTCTTCCCCTGCTCTGGTTGCCAGCTTTGGGGCCTCCAAGGCCTGTAGTATTATGGGCCTGAAACCCACAATTTTTATGGCCCAGGCCTTTTCCTCAGCTGCGGATTCGTCAGTGCTGGGGCCCAACACGTGGTAGGATTGATTTTCTTTGGCATTGGGGCCGGATTTGGTAATGGGGCAGGCCAATTTTTCAATAGAACAATCTTTAAGGGTCATTTTTTAAATTTTAAAAAATTCAAATATCTTTGGCTGTCTATTTAACGAGAGAGAAATAATTACGTTGTGGAACATGATGTTAAAGTAATTACCTTTTTTTAAAAAAAAAATTGGAACATGATGTTAAAGGAGCCAACGAAGTTGGTTCTGTCAAACCATTGAGACGTTCCTCCTCGAAACCCGGACCGCCGGTTTGGCCTTTGCAGTCAGCTCAAACATGCTCTTCACCTTCATCACAGCCCAAGCCTTCCTCCTCGTGCTATGCCACGTGAAAGCCTACATCATCATCATCTTCTTCTTCTTGGCCTGGATCGTAGCCAGGGGGATCTTCGTCATCTTCCTCCTGCCCAAGACGAATAGCGCGCTGATCGATAGCATGGTCAAGAGGGTTTGAAAGTAGCACCCAGTGTGGAAGAGTTTATGGACGATGTTTATATAGGCTCGAAACCCTGGAGAGGACCCACATGAATTTCACTTTTTGTGTCTCTCCCGTGACGGAGTTTGACTAAAATTTTTGAAAAAATCAAAATATATATGTTTCTACCTGTCCTTTTTATCATTGACGAATACACATATGTAACTACTACTACTAATAATAAGGAAACGGCACCTCAAGAAAGTGAGTAGGAGAGCTAATTTGACAAAAATAAATATGAAAATTAAACAAATAATAATAAATTTTGTGCAACGTGAATGTAAATTTATTTTAATTTTATCCGTAAACTTTTAATTTATTAATACAAGTCTTCTAATTAATGTAAAACTAAAAAAAATTGAGCTAACTATTGAAGCAAAAAAATTCCCCCACCCCCCATCCCAGAAACTCCATCATTGTTCCTCTCCCTTCTTGTAGATGAAGACCCACATCTCTTCTTTTTGTCGGCATGGATTCATATGGAAAGGAAGTGTCAGTCACGGCAGGTTTTCAGCTCCGGGCAATCCCTGCGGGGCTTCCTGGGAAGGGACGAGACCACGGCTTTGAACTTCATCTAGCCTGTCATCGTTAGTGGGGCTGCTTTTAATTATATTAATTCTGAGATCGAGAACATACTGTATGTAAAACATTTAATAAAATAAAATTGTCAGATTTAACTAATTATTAAAACTAGTAATTCTCATATTATTATAATTATCACAAGTTATGAAATGAGAATTATTAAAATGAATTATGAGTTTGAAACTAGTAATTCTCATATTATTATAATTATCACAAGTTATGAAATGAGAATTATTAAAATGAATTATGAGTTTGAGATTATATTATGCATAATTTCTTTAAATCACTGTTAAATAATTTAAATTTAAATATTTTATGTAGAGATTTTTGCATTATATCATTAAAGATAAATATGTCTATTTATATTACAAAAACTAAAATATTTATATATGATGAAGTAAAAATTATTTTAGAAAAAGAATTAGCATTTGGTTTGTGGGTTGAGGGGTCAACCATTACAAAGCGCGTTTTACTTCATTAGGATGAAAATATTAAAAATCAGAAGTTCGAATTTTAGTTATTGTATTTATTTTTTCAGTACTTTGTGCTCTTTGTATTAAAAAAAGAATTGAACGCAGCACAGAGCATACTATGGATAAATTTTGTTTAGAAAAGAATATAGATAAAATATCAATTTAAAACTCAATTAATTACTGAATACAAGATAAGTGTTTTGATTAATAAATAGGAAAATAATTTATTACAAAGTTAAAAGTGAAAAATTAAGGAATTAACAAAAACATTAAAAATAATTTGAGAGGGAAAAATTACAGCACTGTCATTTATTTGGCATTCAAATTGCATAGAGAGAGGGAGGGGTTTCAAATTTCAATAGTTAGAAGTCGCCACTTAAAAAAAGTGTGTGAATTGTTTTTTTTTCCCCTCTCTCCCCCCAAAAAATAAAATATTTCTCTATTCACGAACAAGAAAAAGAAGACAAAGATAATTAAGGGAATATTTTAAAGAAAAGGTAACTAAAAGTTGGAATATTTGAATGAAGATGTAATGGAAAGACATTATTTAAATGTCTTTTTTTAAAAAAAGGGTAAAAAAATATTTTATTTTTTAAGGTTGGTTTAATGATATTTAATCCTATTTAAAATTTCAAAAAAATATTCTCATCTTTTAACTGAAATTAACTAATAGTTTTGTTAGCTTTCATCCACTTGTTATTACATAATATTAAAAAAAATTATCAAATTTAATTTTTTGTTATATATATATATATATTATATAAAAATGAAACAAATTTTATATCATATAAAATTAAATTATTCATTATAGTTAAAAATTTAAAAACTTGACTTATTTAAAATCTAATTTTCAAATGAAAAGTTTTAAGGATATTAAAAAAAAAGAGGTAACTTCTTAAAGAAAATTGTATAATCAAATTTCCTAATAAGTTATGCTTTTTAATTTTTTAAAAATATTTTAATTTGTCATATTAAATTAAGCGTGAAGTTGGATTACACTCGTCTCTCCTTTAATAGAGCCATTAGTTTTTTTTAAATTTTTTTTTTATATTTCCAAAAGAATTTTTTGAGATATTAAACGAAAATAAAATCTAAAAGTGTCATTTAATTAAATTTAAAAAGAGAGCTGCGTTTTTACTCTTAAGAAAATAATTTAAGTAGAATATTGGATTTTGCACTAATTTAATTAGGAAAATATGGAAAAGAGATTAATCAAAAAAATTATTCACAATGTCTACTTGGGCATTACCTTATTTTCATTCCACTTATCTCTTTGATATTTTTCCTTATATATAATATATTTTACATATGATACACAAAAAACGACTTGCCATAAATGCACATGAAAATCAAGAGGAAAAATAAGATAAAATTGTAGAATGAATTAGAAATTTACTTAATTATAATTGCACTTTAATTGATATTTTTTTAATCAATAACATAGAAAATAGAAAGTTTAGGTAATTACTTAGTTTCCATTTAAATATTTTGAAATCCTATAATTGATTATGGTAATTATGGTCACAGTTGTCGGTCATTTGGTCTTATTACTAATTTTAAAGCAGAATATTAATTAATTTTAAACGTGATATTTATATTTATACCGCATTTATTTATTATTATAACTTTTGTCCACCTCGCTTTCCCCGAAAATTAGTGAAGAGCACATGCGTGGCACATGTTGATATACCTCTGCATCGTTGACTAAAATCCACGTGGAGCTGGACAGCGTGGATTCAAAGGGCCGTAAGTTATCGCCCAAGATTTCGAGAAGTGGTTGAAGACTCCCCAAATATTTTGTTAAATACATATTTGCACGCAGAAAAATATTTTTTTATCAATTCGCCGCCCAAAACAAATGGGTAAATGATTAAATAAATAAATCTCTATTCTTTTTAAATACAAATCACTTATATACTTCTGCCCTAAGTATTTGTTTAGAAATATTTTTAAAAGGTTATTCGTTTTATTAGAGATAAATTTAGATTTGAAATTAATGATTAAGATTATTCGCAGAAGTGCTGAGTTTCGTGATAGACGAGAAAAATATTTTCTTCTCGGCTGAACTTTAGGCATTTATAGATAATTGGAGAAAGAAAACAACAGCTATTTTTTTTTATTATTATTAAGTGAAGAGTCAATTGGATAAAGAGATTAGTAATGGGGTGGCGTAGAGTCAAAAGTTATGCGTTAGTAAGCGATTGACAAGAGTTGCTAAGAAGGGTGAGGAGAGAGAAAGAATTAGAGGTGGCGTAGAGTCCAAAGTTATGCATTAGTAGGCGATTGACAAGAGTTGCTAAGAAGGGTGGGGAGAGAGAGAATTAGAGGTGGCGGGAGTCAAAAGTTAAGCATTAGTAAGCGATTGACAAGAGCTGCTAAGAAGGGTGAGCAGAGAGAGAATTAGAGTTGAAAAGATAATAAAAGATTTATAATTTCTTTAAATTAATTTTTTAAGATATCAATTTAAGTAACAATGTTAAAAAATATTATTAAGAGATTATTCATTTTATTAGAGATAAGATTAAATTTGAAAATAGATATTAGAATGATTACAAAAAAAAGAGTTTATCCTAATATTTCAATATCTATAAATATATATGTAAAATATGTATTTATTGAAAGAAAAAAAATTTATTATTATAATATTATAATTATTATTTTTCATGAATATAAGCTAATTATACCAAATAACATAAACTTTTGCACATCTTTTATCTCTATTATCTCTGATTACAATTTTCCATTTACGAAAGAATTTGGTCCTGGATCTATCTATGCACTTGGGATTTAGGTGGAGTGACTAAATGACGTGGGAGTGAAAATACAGGTGCATGAATGTAATCTTACGTCGTCTTTGGGTAGAAACTGTTTTACTTAATTAAATAAGAAAAACTCTTGTGCTGTACACGTCAGAAGGCGCGTGAAAGCCACGCGTTGTAGACGTGGCGAAGGAGCCGTAGCGTTCTGCCCGCCGTCGAAAGAGGGAGCAACCTTAGACATAAAGACTCGCTTTTCAATCCCAGATCCCAGGTTGCTCGTGTTTGGTCGTCGTCCGTCTGGTTTGATCTTATCCAAACATCATCTTATTGGCTCCTTTAAATTCCATCGCAAGGAGAGCAAACCCAAAACTTTCATTCATCTCTCTCTCTCTCTCTCTCTGTCCCCCTCGACTGCGCTTTGCATTTACTTCTAGGTTTTTGGAGAAGAGGAGCAAGCACAAAACGTACAGTGATCTCTCTCCTCTCTCTCTCTCTCTCTCTCTCTCTCTCTCTCTCTCTCTCTCTCTACTATAATTTTTGTTGTTTGGAAAAGGAATTAAGAAAAATGAGTCGCGGAGAAGAAGTCTACAAGTCCAGAACCACTGCTTATGTGATAGCATCTTGGGTTCTGGCAGCCTTTGGAGGCCTGATGTTCGGTTATGATATCGGGATCTCAGGTTTGTTCTTTTCCAGTTTCGTTCTGTTTGATTACCGAGAAAACACAAAGGAAAATCACATTGAAAACAAGAAAATCAGGGGCCTGGTTTGGATCTTAATTTTCTGATTGGGCCTTAGACAAAAAAAGGATGAATATAGAACACATGTTTGTCAAAATAATAATTCTTAAGTCGTGTTCAATAATTAGGAATGGATGATATTTTCTCTTTCTTCCTCTGGGATCATGTGATTCGTTTGAATCTCCAAGTTTTATTTTACATTTTATTTTTGTTTGGGTTGAAAAAGCCAGGACAAAACATGTAGAGATATGGCGATTAACCCTTTCTTTTCTTTTCCTATGTCTTGGTTATTCATGGAAAAAGACACATTTAAGTGGTTTGATTTTCATTAGATCCAAACACGCCTTAACATGGGCTCTGCCTTTTTGATTTGATTTGATTGTAGGTGGAGTGACGGCCATGGACGATTTCTTGATCAAATTCTTCCCGCGTGTTCACGAGAGGAAGCTTCACGCCAAGGAGAATAACTACTGCAAGTACGATGATCAGTTGCTTCAGCTATTCACCTCTTCCTTGTATCTCGCCGCGCTTGTCTCCAGCTTTTTCGCTTCAAAGGCCTGCACCGTTTTCGGCCGAAAGCCCACCATCATGCTCGCGTCAATCTTCTTTCTCGCCGGAGCCGGAATCAGTGCCGGCGCTGAGCACAACTGGATGCTCATCCTTGGTCGGCTTCTCTTCGGCATGGGAGTCGGATTCGGTAACGAGGTCAGTTCTAATTGATCATATCTTCTACAGCGATAAGATCGGGGCCGTTTATCCCCCAGCACCCACCCCCCCCACCCTCCAAAAAAAAAAGTGTTACTTTTTTTTTATCTAATTTTAATTCGCTGTCAGGGGCATTGATGAAACAGAACTAAATCCATTAAATTGAATCAAATCTTTCTTTGTTTCATTTTCATATAGATCAAGATTTTGTTTGACTTAATTTAGAACAATTTTTTTTTATAATTTAGCCTATAATATTATAACTAAACTGATTCGTATAAATTGAATCAAATCATATATAAATTATATTAAAAGTTTACATTTTACTATTTTAACTTTATTGTCTTTTGTTGTCATTATTTACTCTTTTTGTTGCTCAAATCCCAATTTCCTTTCCTTTTTTTATTTTTATTTTTTTATGATCAAAATTTTTGATTATTTCAAATGGTTTGATAATTTGAGTTATTATATATCATGTTAATATTTAATTTATTCTATTTATTAAATTTTTTTAATGGTCACTCTTAATTATTAAATTTAATTAATTGTACTAAAGTATTCAATGATGTAAGGGTATAGAGTTGGATAGAAAGTTTGTTAAATTTAATTATAAACTATGGTTTTAAATCAAATAAAATCGTAAACTATAATTTAGTTCGATTTAGTTTTTTAGAGTTCATAGTTTAATTTAATTTGTAAAAATTACGAATTAAAAAGTATGATTTAATTTGAAATTGAATTACTAACTGAATCAATCATGAAAATTTTTAATGGCAATTTTGGTTCATCGTAAAAAATGGATTTTGAAAAAAAAAATTTGGAGGTTTTTTTATTATTTTAATTTTTTTAAGAAATCGAAAAGGCACGTTAAAAAAAAGATGTTAGATGTTTATTTTGCATGCAGCCAAACCCTTTTATTTCTTGAATAACAAAAAGGCCAGAGTAATTTTTTTTTTATATTTATCAACTTATGAAACTCTTAATTGTATAAGAGATTATTTTTGTTATTATTTATATAAACATATTTTTTTTGATATAATTTTAAAATTTTAAATTATAAAAATAATTCAATATTCAATTATTTTTTAAATATTAAAAAACTCTCCTTGTAGAACACATTAAGCAATATAGTAAAATCAGAATTCTGTTATTATTAAATCTTAAACTTAAACAGCTGATTTTTACTATTTACTCAAGCACCATAAACATAAGCCAATATACTTAAACTTTGACTTAAGCCTGAAAAAGTGACTTTTACAACTTTTTAGACTTGCACCTTAATATTAATGTAATTTTCAAAAAGCAAACCTTAAATAAAAAGTGCAGCTTTTATGTACTTTTTTTAAAATCAAATCTTTTAATTATAAAGATTTGGTTTATTAAATTTTTACTATCGATGCTGCAAATAAGCTCGTAAAAGTTGCTAAAAACCTAAAGTTAACAAAGGGCATGTAGCAAGTCCAAAAGAGTAGGCTTTGTTTTGAAACCAAACAACTTTTCTTTTTCTCTATCCTTTTTTTTTTTTTTTCGGTGTTCTGATGGGAGGGAGGGGAAAGAATCTGAGTCTTCTGGGTGGTGTTTTCCGTTTGAATTTCAGTCGGTGCCGGTCTTCTTGTCGGAGGTTGCTCCAGTGCAGTGGAGAGGAGGGGTGAATATTCTCTTCCAACTATTTGTGACCATCGGAATCTTAATCGCCGGCATTGTGAACTACATCACGGCGAAATTGCACCCGTACGGGTGGCGCGTGTCCCTGGGAATGGTCGCCGTGCCCGGGCTTGTCCTCTTCTTCGGCTCCATGATTCTCACGGAGACGCCGGCGAGCCTGGTGGCGCGTGGGAAGGAGGCGGAGGGGAAGGCTGTGCTCAAAAAGATAAGGTAAGATTATTAATTTTAAGGTAAAAATAATTTTACTGTCATAAATTATTTTCTTTGCCTTGTTTATTTACTGAATTTTATAATTTATAATTTAGTCTAAATGATAATACTATTAATCTATTATTATATTTATTTCATAAAATTTTTTAATCTTAAATATTAAATATTTTAACCATTACTATTAGAATAATTAATTATTAAAATTTTAAAAATTTAAATTAATATATTATAATTAGTAATAAATATTAGAAATATATTTAATTTTAGATATTAAATTAAAACACACTATATTTTAAAATTAATTTAAACAATTTGTGCAATCTAACTAAATAAAAAGTTGTCATCACTTAACAATAAACAATTTAAATGTAGTAGAAATTATGAATAAACAGTTTGAATTTAATTAATTTTTAATTACATCCTAAAATAACTTTTACTAAAGTCAAAATTTTTTATTCATAATTAGAAATTTTTTATGTAGTTAGATTGCATAAATAGTTTAAATTAATTTTATAAAATTTAATCATATTTTAATGTAATATCTAAAATTAACTATATTTAATAATATTTATTATCGATTATAATTTGTTAATTTACAATTTTAAAATTTTGAAAGTTACTTATTAAATAATAAAAATTAAAAATATTTGGCATTTAAAATTGAAGAATTTAGAGAATAAATCTAGGGACTAATTAATGGTGTTAATGTTTAGAGATTAAATAGTATATTATAAAGTTTAGAGGATAAATAAGTTAAAGAAGAAAGTTTAAGGAGGTGAAATGATTTTATCTCTTAATTTTATAATCCAAAAGCAAAAATATTTTGAAAAAGTTTAAACTTATTTTCAAATGATTAATTGTGGTTAAACATGACACAGGGGTGTTGATGACGTGGAGGCAGAGTACCAAGAGATACAGCATGCTTGTGACGTGGCTAAACAAGTAAAGCATCCATTCATAAGGTTGTTGACGCGATCCAGCGTGCCGCCCTTGACGATAGCAGTGCTGTTGCAAGTGTTCCAACAATTTACTGGGATTAACGCGATTATGTTCTACGCACCTGTCCTTTTCCAGACCATGGGATTCGAAAGCAGCGCTTCGTTATTATCGACGGTGATCACCGGGACGGTGAATGTGCTGAGCACCTTTGTTGCCGTCTTCGGCGTCGACAAGTTCGGAAGGAGGAAGCTGCTTCTGCAAGCTTGTGTTCAAATGTTCATCGCCCAGGTACTTATTATTTAGATTTCACTTATCTCAGAAACAACAGTAATCAAAATAAATTTTTAGCTTTAATTATAAAATAATTATTACAGATGTGCATAGGCGTGATCCTTTCGGTGGAACTAAAGACGACCGGATCTCTAAGCAAAAGTCTGGCGGGGGTCGTGGTGTTTCTAGTGTGCATGTACGTGATGTGCTTCGCGTGGTCGTGGGGGCCGTTGGGTTGGCTGATCCGAGCGAGACATTCCCCCTCGAGACCCGAACGGCGGGGTTCGCTTTCGCAGTGAGCTCGAACATGCTCTTCACCTTCCTTATCGCCCAGGCCTTCCTCTCCATGCTCTGCCACATGCGCGCCTCCATCTTTTTCTTCTTCTCCGCCTGGATTCTCATCATGGGCATTTTCGTCTATTTTCTTCTCCCTGAGACCAAGGGAGTGCCAATTGACTCCATCACCGAGAGGGTGTGGAAGCAGCACCCCGTTTGAAAAAGTTCATGAGCGACGACGACGACGGATCCAAGGCTAGGGAGGTGGCCTTGGCCTGAGTTTCTGAGCCCTACTTAAAATTAGAATTTGCTCTGATAGACCGATATATTACCTAGAAAGACAAGGGCTGCGTTGCTGTTTATGTTTCTGACGAGGCTTGCATTAAACGTAAATTTTGTTGATGAGACGTGTCAAATGAATGCAATTCTATTTTGCTAAGGAATCACATCTGTTTGGTTCTGTTTCTATTTGATTTTGATGATTTGCTTGGTTGGAGAAATTGAATAATTTGGGGCTTGCTTTATAATGTTTTCAAAAAATTTATATATCAAAAAGTTTCATGCATTAAAAAGGAAGATGAAACTATTCAAAATTAGTCAAAATATTTAAATATATAAAACTTATGTTTATACATGTAAAAGAAGGCAAATCTATATCAATATTAATTTTTTTAATTTACGAGAATAAGTTGCTAAGTATTATTTATGAAAATAGGTTAATTTTTAATTTAAAATAATTTGTAGGGAACTGAATTCTTTGAAAAATTGATAATGAGACACTTGACGTCACGACCTGGACAGTTGGATCCGTGACCGTGCTAGGGTTAGGATAGTCCTAACCCTGCAAGCCTCAAATACTCAAAACTATAACAGAACAAAATAACTTAGCTTGATACAATGCCCACAGTTTGATACAAACTTCCAAAAAATCAAATACAATTATTAACATCAAAAAAAATCCTTAAACTTAATTTCTGTCTATGCTAACTAAAATAAATTAACACAATAAGAAAGAACACTATCCGCTGGAACCACAGATCGAGATCAACAACTTTCTCACATAGCAGAATCAGTCAGAAGTACGAAAACCTGAGTCTGAAAAAAATTAAGGGGTGAGTCTGATGACCCAGTGAATAGTAATACATATTTACATGACAAGAGACATATATCAATTGCTTTTATCAAAAAAACATAATCTTTTAGGTCATAAGCTTATAATGTTCGAAATAGAATTACACTTAGTCAGTTATTATCAGAAAGCAGGAGATGGCATTCTCGATGCCCAGAAACACATAACCACATATAACAGGTGAGAATCACGGGCGGGACTCACAGGCGGGAATACAACCACCGTTCCTACTTACCACCATCCCCGCTTATCTTAAACAGGTTTATCATGTCAGATCGCGTAGTTGTCTAGCATCACCCCTGTAAACTGGGTTTACAAACTTAAAATCATTTCTTTAGAATTTAATCGAAACTGTTCACATATTTAAACATATTAAAATACAAATCAATAGTTTAGAAAATTTTCTAACAAATCAGAAAATACCATATACATCCCTGTAAACATTTGTATCAAAGTTAACTTCCAGTTTCAACATATCTGAATTTACAA